AACAATATGCGTTTTGTACTGCTGTTACACAGCACAAAACGCATAAAAATGCTCTGAATGGCGCATCGTCATTTACCAAATTCCAATAACTGAAGACCATTTCGTAGTAATTGCTAGACCACTGCATTGTGTACTGCGGCACCTTCTCGAGGCTTGCATCGAACGTCACCCTAAACAAGCAGTGGAAGCGTGATCAGCACAAAATGCCTAAATGAATAAGCCAAGAACAGAAATAAGACAAAATATTGGGAAAATACTTCAAAAAAAGTCGCTTACTAGAGAAAAGTGCTTCTGGATGATCTTTCAGGTAGCCCTAGTAAGAGGCAACGGTGCAACGCTTATACAACTGCTTGCTCACCAGTTGTGGTAGCTCAGTTACCTTCTGCCTTTCAGTTTACTCGCAAATCTCGCTTCATTCTCGCAGTCTCAGGTCACGTAACTGTTGAAATTCATTAAAGCTGGACAGCTGGTGCGATCACACATCAGCCGTTACTTACGAGCCAGGGTAGCTGGTACGATCATGCGTTCTGTGCATCCTGCCCAGCGAACGCCTGTGCAATTCTGCCCAGCGAACGCCTGTGCAATTCTGTTCAGCGGACGCTTGCGCAATTCTGTCCAGCTGACACCTGTGCAATTCTGTCCAGGCGAAACTAGCTGTTAAAACTGTCCGTTTCATTACTGTTTAATACAACAGCAATTTTTGTGATTCCCAAATTATCAGTTTTGTCAACAAAACTTTTACGTTCCTGTATGTGAGACTTAGGCGCACATGGAGACCAATGTAAAAATGGGCAGAGAGCATTATTCTAAAATTTCAATCCCCCGCTTCTCCGATTTTCAAGTTAGCTTTTGCGCCAAAATTTTCACGTGTCTACACATGAGAACGAGACGCGAGTGAGGACTGATTTTAAAGTTACGGAGTTGTGCACGAGCAAGGAACATTGTTCTGAAATTTCAGTCTCAAAACTAGCTTTTGTGGTTCCCAAATTATTAATTCTAGCGCCAAAATCTTTCCTTGCCCATAAACGAGACCTAGACGCACGCGGGGAATGAATTTATATGCGGGCAGGTAACAGTATCCTAAAATTTCAGCCTCCCAGATTTTAAGTTCCGAATCACTAATT